TGATACATCAGATGGGATTGACTCATACAATATTGTTCGTTATAGCATTCTCAAAGCAGGACACATCAGCATTGTGGGGATTGGGGTTTGCATGCTGGAGAGGAAGATTAGAGCTATGGATGTTGTGTCTCTTACCCGCACTTTCCTCTGCTGAGCTCTGGCGGCTCAGTCAAGAGATCCTTGCAGTGGCAAAGTTAAGGAGATGTGTTGACCCAACTGTCTGGTAAATCATGATCATCTCTCAGCCTTGTTTTTATTTTGTATAGAGTCAATGAAGCATTCAGCAGTGCTTTCAGTGCTGACACACTCCAAATTTGGTAGATTGTCTATATACTTATTTTAGTAGAATGCTCTTGTGCATACTGAAAATGTTTGTTCCACCCTGAGCAAGCTTCACATGGCAATCAGCACAGTTGGCCGTAATAGTAATCTAGCAGAGGCAAAGTTGCAATTTGAAAGCAAATAGGGTTTGCTTGTCTGCTGTGCTCTCCAGTACTGTCTTGTTTTCTTTTGTGTGCCTGCAGAGGAGAAAGGGCTGATGTCAGGAGGAATGGGCCTTATCACCAGTCTGTAGTTTAGGACAAGTACAGAGGGATGGTTTCTCTCTTTCCCCTTTGGCTATTGTGTAGAGCTCTGATCTTTTTTTTTTTTCCCATTCCTGGAACCCATTAACCAGTTCCAGAGGGTTGTGATACTGTAGCTTATTCCATCCAACTTCATTTAGCACATGGGACCACAGAATAGACCTGTAAGTTATGCTGGGCACATGCCTGGGCTCTCAGATTTCAATTATGAGGGTTCTTCTTGACAGAGCTTTCTGGGCTTCAGAAGCTCATAGGTGAGGAGCTGGAGAAGGCAAGATGCTGAGAAATTGGATATGTAAAAGTTGCTTGGGTGCAGAAGTGAAATAAGACTAGAGAAAAGAGTGAGGTGAGGATGTTAGGAGAGGCATTGAGTTGAAGACCAAGTGTGGAGTTCAAAGGTCTGTTGAAGGAGGCGTAAAGTTTGAGGGATGAAGGGTGGAAAGTCTTCTTCAAGAAAACTATTTTTCTTAGATTCTGAAATGATGCAGAACCTGCCTCACCTTGGTAATCTTGCTCATCTTGCTAAGTGGATTCTGTAGCAGTACCTTGGTTTTTCAACATCATCGTGTTCAGCTCAAGCCAGTGGGAAATGCAGCTTTTAAACATCTGAATATCAAGACATTAATGTTACTGATAATTCTAGTGATTGTACTGGCACTGATGCAGTTTCTGATTTAGCTGAGAGGCTTTATACTTTTCTTTAGAACCAACATACCTTTGGGATTGTTTATATGTCCCATTGCAAGTAAGTGATAATGTCTCAATGCTATCAAAACTCTTTCTCTGTCTGTCAGCTATTCTAGGATACACAGGAGCTTTGTCAGAAAAGAACTGGTTTTGCAGGTGCATAGAATCATTGGTCTTTGTTTTCTTTATTTCTGTTGTTTTTTGTTATCTTGGGCTTAGATGGCACACAATTTGAGAGGCTCAGGGAGAGTAGTTCCACTGAGTATTGTAAAAGCCCATCTTTCTACTGATGTGTTTCAGAGGCTCACCAGAGTGAAATATTTCTATTTGTAAACTTGCAGTTTAGTGTCACCACTGAAGTGTGCAATTAAAATAGTTGATTGGCTAGTTGTGAGGCTAGAGTCAGTGCCTTGCATTGTAGTTACTAAACTAGGTGTGGAAGAATTCCATAGAATAATAGAGGAACCAATTGATTTTTGGTACTTTTAGTCTCTGAGTCCCCTTGCTGCCTTCTGGAGGCTCTGGTTGTGTGAGATGGCCCGTGGGGAATGCTGTATCTTCAACCTCTTGGGCACACAACCTGGGCATGGGCTCATTAAGTTTTTACTTCATAGACCTTCCCAGTCTGGTTGCAGTAGGACCCCCAGGTCTGGGTGGCCTTGCAGATAGCTGCCCAGGGTTTCCAAGGGGTAGGTGTTCAGATTTGTCTTTTTAAGGGGTATCTAGTGATTGTGGTAAAGAGAGGGTGAGCAATGCTTTTTTGCTTCATATTCCTAGTTTTTTTCATACTTTTAGTGTTGTTTTTTTTATTATCCTTAATGTTATTACCATTCTATAAAAACATTGCAACTGCTTTCTTGTAATTATAGGGGGGCTTATACATTTTTAATGGAGTTTAATGTTTTTTCCATACGAATATACAGAGCCTTTTTTTTTCCTCAGGCTATGAACATTACTCTCATTTGAATCAATACATTTCAACTGTTAAATATGTCAGAGTGTCTGTTTTAGCAAAGAAATGCCACCTTTTGGAGCCATAAAATACAGTGAATTGAAAGCTGACACCTAATATATTTTTCATTGGATACAGATGTTCAATGCAAAACTCATTCTTTCAGCTTTCATAAAAGGGAACAGAACTAAAATACTCCAGCTTAGTGTACACTATGCAGTGACCAACTGCTAATGCAATTCAGCATTTAAAATAGTATAAACTTATTGTGAAATAGCAGAAGAAGATAGAAGAATTTTTCCATGTCTGTGTAAAGAGAAAATACCTCTGAATAGATTTTAAGTTTCTTTAATACTTGACCACTGGAATTATAAATTGTAGGACAAATTAGTTATGTAGAATGTGATTTTTCTTTTATTTGCCTAAAAAAAAAGGGCGGGGGGAGAGAGGGGAGGGACAGCTTTTCAAATCAAAATAAAGAGCTTGTGTAGATAAAAAATATTTGAAATACACTTTTTTAGAAGAAAATCAATCTATTATAAAATGCAATATAGTATTAAAAATGAAGTGGTTCTTATAGTAATTTTTTTGAATTTAGCTTTCTAATGGTTTTATAATTTTTGACAAAAATACTGATGGGGCAAATGGGAAAACATATAAGCTACAATGGTGACGAAGGCTTTTGAGGTGCTGAGATGTTCAATTTTTGTATCTGTGGGCTATTATAGTTTCAGTGCTGGCTTCAGCTGAGCTGGAGGCACTGCTAAAATATTGTCAGTTATGCATAAGCTATCATGGAAGGTCTGCAGTGCTGCTACTGCTCTTTTGCCTGGAGAAGTCATTTAGGTATACAGGAGCTATAAAGTGGGCTATATGGCAGAGAGAATTAAGGGGGAATAAAAAGGGAAAAAACCCCCACATTTCATATTAAACAGATATTTCTGAAGTAGAAATCTATTTGAAAAAAACAGGTTTATCTTCAAACAAAAATGTTTACTGTTGTATCTGAAGATGATTTGCTGCAAAGATCTTTACCTTTGTCTTTGATTTTTAACTGACCAAACTGAAAAGACTCATTTTTTTGCCCTAAAGGTCCTGAAGTATCTAACAGTTTTCAGGCAAGGGCCTGGAGAAATCAACTTTCCTTTAGCATTTTTATAATCACATTGCTTTACAATACTGCTGTCTTCAGTGTTGTGACATTAACTATTAGATTATGATGTGCCAGCAATATATTGCAGAAGTACAATATTAATTTTTTTATTATAATCTGCTTCATTTTTATTGCTTATGATTGTTAGTTTTTCCTCTCTTTTTCTTTTTTCTGAATCTACTTTTCCTAGGGTTTTTTGACAAAAAAATGTTGTGAACCTGTTCTAAACAGATTAATATTTTCAGTTTCCAGACATCTCATGGAAAATAGATTTCCCCAAACTAACTAGAAAAACAAAAAAACCTGGTTTAGTCAGACAAGTGCTTTTTGGTCAAAAATCTGTGGCAAAAAGCCCCAGGCAGCAGTGGGCAGACTTCTGCCTATTTTCCTGCTTGCAAACAAACTGGTTTTGAGTAGCAGGATTGGATCTGCATGGGATGGGGAACCACTCTCACTTCAGATTTTGAATTTTTGAATAGCTATCATTACTGATTATTGCTGTGTAACAGCCTATGAAAAATGAGTTGACAGTGTTATTCCTGTTCCCAAATGACATACATAAATATCACCAAAAATAAATAAATCCTATCTTAACAGGAAGAGCAAGAATTGCTCCTTGATGCTCTCTTGATATTAGTAGAATTAAGAGGACTGAAAAATACAGCTGCTGATCAAAAATGTGTCCAAAGAGAAGGCAGATTTTCCAATAGAAATGTGAAAATGGAAAACCTTCAATAAGAAAAAGGAATTTTTTTACCTGGAAATGATGTTAAGATGCTGGAAGTTTAGTTTGGGGTGGTAAATGATCCCCTTCTCATCCAGCCTGTCCAGCATGGGCAGAATGCACATCTCATCATGGGACTCATGACCTTCTCTGCCAGGAGGATGCAACTATGGTGCAATGGAAGGTCTTCTGGTCTGCCATAGCCAGGAAGGATGATCTGTGGCAGCTGAAGTACAACATCATTGAGCATTTTAGTAATGGATATATTTTGAAATCAGGGTATTTTGACTTTGTTCTTTGGGTGAAAATTTTAATTTGTGTGGCAAGTAGATACATAACATGAAATGTCACTCTCTCCCCCTTTTTTTCTTTTTTTTTAATGTACTTTACTTCTGAAAAAGCTCTTTCAAAGTAGCATTGCAGTCACTTCTTGTAGGATCAAGCCTTAAAGTCTCATTTTAAAAAAATAGTCCTTTCCTTCTTGACATGGTTTTCTCCTTCTGTTACAAAATAGGCTGCAGTAGTGTTAGCAACTCTTAGACCATAGCTGCCCATGCACATGGGTGTAAACCATTTGCCTGCTGTCTTTTAAAACACTATGTTAAAAGTACTGGAATTTCAGAAGTAAAACAAGATATGTGCAGTCTGATATGCTAGAATTATTTTTCAAATACCACATGCCTTCCCAAAGAAAGCATGTTATTTTTTTAATAATTTGCTATATGTCTACCAGTAAAGTAGCAGTGAGGTTATTCACTAAATAGTTCAAGTAATGCAAGTTATTCAGGTAAAGCATTTTTCCAATTGTTGTCAAGATTTCTCTTGATTTCTCTTTTTACACAAATGTGGTCTATACTGTTGCACACTTAATGCCTTGTTAACTTTCTGTTTGCTGTTCAGGTAGAGAAATAACAGCAGAAACCTTCATGGAGAAATTGGATAATGGTGCCTTGCTTTGTCGGTTAGCTGAGACCCTGCAGGAGAAATTTAAAGAAAACAGCTTTGATGCAAACAAGCCTGGCAAAGTAAGTGTTGGTAAATGTTCTATCTTACCAGTATCTGAGGTGTCTGACTGTTTTGGTACTGAACTTTTTTGCGCAGTTGAGAGATTTCATTTGTGGAGGCTCCGCAAATGCGCAGGGAGCAATTACTCCATGTAGAAAAATTACAATATGAAATTGAGGGGATTAATACTTCTTGAGTAATTATTAATAATTAAATTATTAAATTATTATCAGAGGAAGTTACTAAAAAATTACTTGTAATGTGGAGGATAAGACATAGAACAAGATTTAGCAGTGTGATGTGGTAGCTGATAGAGAAAATGTGATCCTTGTATTTATTTCTAGGAGGAATATTAAGTAACTGTGGGAGGTGCCTTTTCCTCCATAAACAGCTGTAGGGGGACCAATAATAAAATTCTATAGATAGTTACAGTACCTTGAGTTTAAAGGTCCTGTTGGTGTCCTGGAAAGGGTTCAGTAAAGAGTTTCAGGGATGATGTGGAAAATGTGAACCTTCAGAAGATACTGAAGAGCTTTGCAAAGATCAGATTAAGATCTTGCTTGACTGCAACCTGCCTTTAATTTAAATTATTTCATTAGGACAATCTTACTGGGGGGAATTAAGAGTGCAGCAAGTTTCTTAGTGGGAAGAGTTAAAAGGTTAACATATACATTAATGCATTTACTATGAAACTGATTTTATTTTTCTTATTGAATTCAAATACATCTTCCTAGAAAGCTAAAATGGGCAAACACACAGTAGATAAAAAAAGAGCTCAAGAGCAGAAATCACAAAATATATCTTCTATTCTGATGTTCTTATAATTGTCTGTAGCAGAAATTAGGGCACAGCATAAATTTTATCAGCAGTTCTGAGAACTGACAGCCTTGTGACAGCTGGAGCTCCATAAGTTGTTTTTCTTGGTTCCAAGCTCAAAATTGTTGTTGTAGAAGAAATTGTCTGGGCTAAGGCAGGCTTTATTTAGTTATTTTTAACCTTCTGTGGGTTGGGGTTGGTGCAGGGAGACATTGTTTGTTTTGGGGTTTTTTTTTCTAAAGAAAAAGAAAGAGATAGCTGGGAAGAAAGATAAGAAGTAGAGAAGGAAGGAAACCTTCCTCCACAAAGGAGGAAAAGACATCTGGAACTCATATTTCATATTTCAAATTGTAATCAGAGTTTGGTCAGTAGAAGTACTGGAAGACTTCTGAGTTCCTCTTTATAATATGGTCCAGCTTGTCTTCACCTAAGTGATGGCCTGTTGGTGTTACTTGTTTGTCCTGGTTTTTCCCATTAAAAACAAACCAACAATGGTACTGTTATTGACAAAAACTACTGGAAGCTTCAATGAATACCTGAAGGTCAGCTTGGTTACAGAGTTCTAAAACATTCCCTTTTCATATCTTGCTCAGCTGATGTACTAGAAAATAAATCACAAAGTGCAAAGCATTTTTTTACAGACTGGCGTCTCGGAAAGCTATGTCTATTTAATATAAAAATATCAGGAAAATAATAGCAAGAAATTAATCAACAACCACAAAATTCTACTGAGTATTCAGAAATTCAAACAATATGTTTTTATTTGATGTCTAACTATTGCTTTTTGGGGTTGTTGTCTGATGGTTGCTTGTTTAAAGGGTGTTACCAATTTGGAAAGATAACCCAGAAATGTAACCATGTTTTTGTTACTTCTATTTTTGCCACTAAAAAGAGAGACACCTCCTTTCCTGTATTAAATTCCTCAGCTGAGAATATGGCCTTCCTTTCTTCAGTTACCTGATCACCTTTTTTTGAACCTAAGTTACAGTACAAGCCAATTAGACATTTGTAATCCCCTATGTTGTAATTACTTAGATTTGTTGCTCTTTTATTTGTCAAACTGGTGTAACAGACAAAGCAATTAAAGGGAAAAAAATTGCTCCACTGCTATTTTCTCAATGTATATTATTTCATTCTTAGTACAGTAAGAATTCAAAGAAATGGCAGAGTAATACATTTGTGTCATTGTAGGCTATTAGGGAGCTATTTATCCTTTCAGGTTGTAATTCCCTGCGTAGCAGTCCTGGGCAGTAGGATTAGTCTACACATTGGAAAATCTGACTTGTGGTGCCAAGGAAATTACTAAGATTATACTGTATGACATTTAACATAGTAAGAATTCCACGATCTTCTCCTGAATCATTATTATGCATTCTGTTAATAATACATGTGGAATTTTGAAGCTGTTTGACCATTTCTCTGTGCACAGGAAAATGGAAACATTATGGTTTTTCACTCAGGTGCCCTGGTGACTTCACTAGCAGCTGGAAGAAGCTGCTGACTTCTATGGAGTCCAATCTCTATCAAAATAGATAACATGCTTTTCTACCCATATATGTAACTTTTAATTTTTTTAGATAGAAGCAGACTGTTCTAAAGTGAGTGGCTGCCAGAAGGATCAGCTTGCAGGCAGCACCAGGTTGCAGCTGAGGGAGGGAGACAGGATGATAAGGCTGTAGATAATGGGAGAGGGTGTGTGGGAAATCTTAAATCCTTCCACAAACCTGAAGATTTGGTCTGTTTTCATAAGTCAAGTTTTTCCTTGTATGGGAGCTTCTTCCTAGATGGCGAAGCTCCATAAAATACTTTAGTTTTAGTTTTGTTTTGGAGGAAGATGATATGTCAAGCAGAACAGGATATGCACTACTGATTGTGAATTCTCTTGTGCAGCTCCTTGGGGCTGCCTGGCCAGTTTAGCAACTATAGCGACACATGGAATAAGACATTAAAAACTAATACTTCATACACTGACTCATCAGTTGTTTACCATAATTCCTTAAGTTCATATTGTGATACCCTACAGAATGTTAGAGGTTAAATCCTATTGCTTCTGGATTAACTGCTTGTGCAATAAGTTTCTAATTGCTGTTAGTTTGGCAGTTTGTTTCTATCGTTCCCTTTCCTATTAGGGAGGCCTGAACTTTCTTCAGCTTTCAGGGACTCCCTAGGTGAGTATCAGCCTTTTTGAGTGTGGAATAAATCAGGAAAGCATAAGCCAAAAAAATTGTGCCTCCCAAAATATTGGATTTTCCAGATCTGGAAGGAAAATGGTGGTATTGATAAAAACCCTCCTTTTTTCTGTCACGTGGAGACACTTGTGACACTGGGGACATTTTCAAGAGAGTTAGAAAATTACTGCTAATGTGACTTGGCAATACAGCCTTAAGAAACTGAAAGGAAGATTACAAGTGTGTGATGCAAAAGTAAAGTCTTCTCTCCTTAAGAGTCAGGGGAAGGCAATGAAAGAGTAACTTTTTATGAGTGAAGGAGATAATTGGAGTAGCTTTTTATGAGTGACTGAGTAGGTTAGGGTTCCTCAGTGTGGAAAGAGGTAGCAAAGGGGCATATGATGGAACCTGCAAAATCAGGAATGGCGTGGTAGTTGTTCAGTCTTTTCTATACAAAAACTATGGGACATTGAATTAAGCTGGTAGGAGCCAAACAAACAGAAGGTAGTCCTTGTTTATGAACTAGTTGGAAATTTCTTGGCAATGAATGTTAAAGTTTACCTGGGTTCAAGAAAACACTGAATAAGGTATTGGAAGAGAGATGTCTTGGAAGGCTGAATACACAGAAACTCCATCTAGACGAGGAAGTCCCATAACTGAAAATGGTTGGAGCTTGAGAAAGTCTTGAGAAGTGCAAGATGTTTGCTCTGGTCTTAGTCTTCCCTAGATGCTTACTTAGGGCGAGTCTGGGTCTGGGTTAGGTGAACCTTCAGCTGACCCAGTAGGGTCACTCTTATGTTCTGAGTGGTATCGCTTCTTGGCTCTGAGTACCTTGCTGGTTGTGTAGGTGGACGTGGACAAATCTATCCTTTCACCAGGGTCAAACTTCAAAGAAATTATTTGAAATTAAATATATACTTTTTGTTCTATATAAAAATGCCCCTTTAGGACTGAATCCCTACAGTTAAAAGTAGAACCTGAGTCACACTCTACTTTGGTATCTGTTATCCAGGGGAGTGATGTGTGGTTGAGAGCACTGGAGGTTGGCAGCCTCTGGTGCCATTTACACAGTCTCTGCTCATTGCCCTTCTGAGCTTAGTGCCATAATAGGCACTTTTGGGTATAATAATAGATCCTCTAAATGCATCCTGCACAAGTCTAGCTCCCTAACCCTGTAGTGTTTGATTTGTTAACCATTCAGTAATAAGTTACTAAAAGCATTTCAGTTTCTAAAGGTGAAGCATTTGGCAATTGTTCATTTCAGAGGCTGTTAGGTTCTTCTGCAAATCCCAGCAGACACTGTTCTTCATTGTTAAGTAGCTAAACCATGCTTCAAAACCTAATGATTCTGAAAACATGGATGTTGTATCTGATCCTTTGCTTCAAACAGAAGAAACTTTGAGTTTTAAATTAAAATGGAAATTTTAAACAGGGAGGGCAGTATTAGTGTGACTGGATGTTGTATTTTTAAAGAGGTAATTTTTTCCCCTTTTTGGAGATTTTACAGTCAGAAATAAATCTAGTCATGTACATTTATAAAATGACAAGGAGATGACTGATATCAATCTTAATAAATGCTCAAGACTTGTATGGTAGTAAGTTGTTCGAACTACCTGTGCTGCTGCTGCTAATGATCTACTGTCTAGAAACTAGACTTATTATTATAGCAGGAGTTATTCCGTAAAAGTGATTCATGTCACAGGATGCCATTTTGTAATTTTCTCCCATTGGCTTGGATTTCATCTCCATGTTCTCCTGGCAGTATTTTACTTTTCCTGACAGATAGTTAATTTGAGAATTTCACAGCTGTACAAACAAATTCAAAGCATCGAGGCATGTGCAGTATGCACAGAGCCCACATTTGGTTGGGCTTAGTTTAGTAAGCCCATTAGTTAAGATATTAAAATAAACATAAATAAATTGTGTTAATAGTTATCACCATTTTAATAGGCAGGGCATAATCGTCTGCCCACCATCCTTGAAGCTGCCTATACATTTATGAACGTTCCACTGGAAACAGTGTTTTCATGGCCAAT